CCGCGTCCCGTGGCCCGTCGCCTGGGCCGCCTGGGCCGCTGCGGCCGGGCGCGCTGTCCCCGAGGCGGCCGGCGCCTCTCGGGCCTGCGGCCGCGCTCCCCTCTGCCTGAACGCATCCAGCCTCCAGCAAGGCTGCTGCGAGAGGGAGAGGGGAGCGGCCAGCTTCAGCGCGTGGGGCCTTTCCTCGGAAAGCCTCCTAGGTACGCCGTACTGCGCGCCGCTGCTTGTCGGGAGCACCCGCTGAAACAGTAGTTAAATTCGCTGGAGACCTTGTTGAGAAGGAGACGGACTAAATTTTGGTGACGAGGAGGAAACAGTCAAATGAGCCCTTATTGCTTGTAAAAGTGTAGCTAAAACTATAGCCTTATAGCTGTGATAACGTAGCAAACGTGATTCGTATGGTAACGTTACACTAGCCGTTTCTTCAGGTGATAGAATTACTTGCAAGTATTGAGAAACAGGGATCAGGGATACATCTTGGGGCTGTTGCCTAAAACACGATTTTTCATTAGGGATGCTGAAAATCATTGCTAGCAGTCTCAAGATGTATAATTAACTTACAAGTTTTACAGAAGAGTGGCTATGAGGTACTGGGATTTTATATTTTACAAGGAATCATAGGATTATTGTAAGCAAAAATCCATAACGATGGTAAAGTACGTGCCATTAGTCCAGTGATTTGAAATAGTATCTGTCTTCTTTGATCAGGGTTCAGGGTGCAGAGTACCCCTGAAGGAAGTAAATCATTTGAGTACATAGGTTGTGCTACAGCAAGAAATACTTACTGTGACCCTTTCTTCTGCTCTTTGCATTACTCAGAGAAGACTTCAGTCTGTTTTTTTTTACATTAGTTGGTGATTGTCACTGCATAAAGAGTGTATGCTACCTGTTACATACAATCAGTGTACCGCGTGACTTCATCTGTGTTTGTCATATTACGGGGTGCAGCTGTGGGGGTAGCTGAGCTTGACTTTTCTGTCTGAAGAAAACATCTTTTAGGGTTCCATTTAATTGAGTACAGTGCTAAACTGCCCTGAGACTGTTCTAATTAGGATTAATCCAAACTAATCCTAAATATATTTTAGAGCTTAACATTGGCACGAACAATCTATTTCTTTAACTGCAGGATTCAGTCCTTTAAAAAATCCTAAACAGAATAAAATCCTGAATGTATTTAAGATAATCCTAAAATAAAATCCTAAATTTTATTTAGGCTTGCTTCTCATGCAGGCTTACTACATGATGTGGTGGTAAAGGGTGGTGGGTTGTGTTGTTTCTAAAGTATTTTGACTGGCTTTAGGAGAAGCATATCTCGAATAATATGGCCAATTCTTATTTTGTAAAGATTTCTTGGGGGTTTTTTTGTTTGTTTGTTTGTTTTGTTTACAGATCCTTTTCCAATTGATCCTATCCAGGAAAATTATGTCCGTAATGTGAGAAACTGCATTTTTTCGGTTGCCTATCCTACACCTTTTAAATCTAGAGTTCTTCTTGTAGCTGTTTCAAAGGTTGGCTATTATTTTTTGTTCCTCTCTTTTTGAGAGAGATTATTTATGCAAATTTTAATTGTTAATGTATGTACTCAAACACTTGTATATCACATACTATTTATTGTTAATGCATATTATCAATATATACTTTAAACATACAGAACACTTCAACATATTGTTCATTCTCTGCACCTTCATCGTGGCATATCTCTTAATAACAAAACCTGTATAGAAAGTGCATTCATTGCCACTGAAAATTTGATCATATTCAAGTACCATGTTTTTTTTTTCTCTCCAGGAAGTTCTTGAAGATATTTTGGATCTTGATATATCTGTCAAAGAAAAAGTTGATTTTCTTCAGTTCGTCAGTGGTGAGAAAGTGACACCTGGGTCTGTTCCTTTAGCCCACAGATATGGAGGTCATCAGGTAACCCTAACACTTATTCTTCCGGGTGGAATCAGATAGGACTTTCCATATGAATTGTACCCTGACAATCTATAGGTATTTGAATGCTTATGAGTACTTAGTTTGCAAATTTGCCCATCAATAAAGGGCTGCATGCAGATGAGAGAGAACTGCAGTATTCTTTCATGGTACCATGTCTGCTTTCAACTTCTGTTCATGCCAGAAGCAAATTATCTTTCTAACTTCAGTTAGCTCCAGAGTCTGCTTAGCACCCCTGTAGCCCAGCAGGCTCTAATTCATGACACGTGTCAGCTCAGAGGAGCAAAGAAGGACAGAGCCTTACTGAAATCAGCAATAGTGTGTTTACTTATAGTAAAGTTCAGTTGAAATGGATGAGATGGTTTATGGAATAAGAGTGGTAGAATTTGATGTGTAGGCTGCAGCTGTACTCAAGTAGTAGAAGTCAGAGAAAAAAATTGGTACTACCTGCATTATTCTTTTTCTGTGCTTTTCTGATTCATTATTCTGAGAGTGTGGAAGTACAGTTTTAGGGATCAAAGCCTTAATGCCTTCGTGAGCAAATGTGTCATTCTGTTGTGCAGATAACAGTGAATCTACATGTGTTTGTACTATGTGAGTTAAGAGTATAACTGCTGTAAATGATATTAAGAAGAAAATGACTTGATTTTCGTTTTTGCCAGTTTGGTATCTGGGCAGGTCAGCTGGGTGATGGAAGAGCCCACTTGATTGGAGTATATACAAACAGGTGCGACATGTTTTTAAATGATTGATTTACTTCTATATACGCTTTAGTTGATTCATGAATCCCACAAGGTATATTGTTATAAATGGTAATGGTGTTTTTGCAGGCATGGTGAGAGGTGGGAACTGCAGTTAAAGGGTTCAGGAAAGACCCCATACTCCAGGTAAATTGCAATTAATTCATAAATACAAAAATTGGATGTTTTCTTTTTTAAATTTGTCTTTGTTTTACAATCTGTTCCTTATTCTCTGTCCTCCATAGGAATGGTGATGGAAGGGCAGTGCTTCGCTCTTCTGTGCGAGAATTTTTATGCAGTGAAGCTATGCACTATCTTGGAATTCCTACAAGCAGAGCTGCTAGGTATTTTTCTTTTCTTATTCACACCATCCTTATTTACAGGAAGTTTTGTGACTGAGTTTAACGGAGCACCAGTAAAGTAGGGCAGCTGATTTCTAGAAAGACAGATATTTTCTTTTATACATATGCAGCAAAACATATCAGACATACAAATATATCCCTCAATTTTTTTAGATTTTTAGATAACACTTTCCGGTAATAATAAGCTCTAGTAATTCATTCATTCATTTGTGTCTGTGGTATGATTTAAAATACTGTTTTATTTAAACACTATATTGTGTAATATCTGGGTATTGTGGTGAACAGCTGTTGTTCACTTACAATACTGTCTTAACTGAATGACCTTAGTTTGTAATCTAGTTGATTTTGTAAAGCAAATAAAAATCAGTTTCTTCTCTTTAAAGAAAGTATTGTTCTCTCCTCTGTTTCTCGCTGAAAGACTTGCAAAAACAGGAGGACTAGATTCCTGTTAATTATAATACTAATATCTCTAGCGTATACGGATAATGAATGAGTCTATTAATATATTAAAGTTAAGCATTTAGATGAGTTTCTGAAGAATCAGGCCACGTGGGGAAATGTGGAAAGTGACTGTTTCTGTATTATCATAGTGACATGTTGGCAGTTTTTACTCTTTCCATTCAGTTGCTTATGGCTTTTGAGATGGATAGGAAAAAGTTGTCAGCCAGGTAAGATCGATATTAATACCAGAGGTAGTAACTAATGTAGATACTTGTTCTCAAGTCCTTATTTATATGAACGTCCTTCTTCTAATTATTGCTTTTCCAGGTTAAAAGGAAAAAGAATAAAAATTCATTTAAAAAAATTCATTTAAAACAAATTTTGCTTGAATCAAAGAAGCCTAACAAATGTGCTTATGTGGATCTTTTTTTAGAATTAAGTAAATTGAATTTTTCAGCTGATTGTGCTAACAATTTAAATTTCATTTTGTGTTCCAAGTGGGCTCATTTCTGTTCTCCAGAATTCCAGACTTAGAAGAAAATAAATGTTCAACAGAAAAAAGCTCTGTATTCAGCTGCCACATGGCTAGGTTTCATTGCAGAACATAGAAATGTCTGTAAATCTTTCTAGCATTAATTTTTACACATCTTCTCTATTGGAGTGCAGTGTTTGTAAATGAAATTTTGGATGATCTGTTCACTGACTTCACCTTGCGAGCTTTTGGTGTCAGCTATTGATGCAAAACTGTAAATCTGTCTGAATATTAGCAGGAAAGCATCTGGCAATGTTATGTCCTTTCTTTTCTGTCCTCTCAACAAATTGTTCAGTGCAAAATCAATACAAAATTATTCCTTAACTCTGCACAAATTCTACTGAGTACAGAGTGTGCCTTAGTTCTGCTGGCAAACTGGTTAAATGTCCGCCTCTCTTGACTGTACTGTACAAGTTTTCCAGACTGCTTGTAAGACTTCATTTGGAAACACCCCAGCTGATGCCCATATTCTTCCCAATGGGGAGCCGTTGTACAAAGCCTGGTGAGATGCATTTATAGAGTTCTTATCAAGTCTTGGCAAAAGCGTGGGTAAGAGTCTCATATCTTATCCCAGAACACCCAGCAGGTTGGTTTGCTCTATTAATTTCAAGTTCTGCATTCCCAATAGGGTGCTACAGTTTAGGACTGTACCACCAGCTAAAGAACATTTCTTCATATGGTACCATTTTAGTCACATACTGAGGCTTCCGGTTAGCAGGGTTATGCGCTGAGTCAAAAAAATGAGCTAACGTGTAGTTTTCAAAGTGAAACGGCCCTTAGTTGCATAAAGCTTGAAGTTCATGCAGAACAGCATGCAGGGTACGTGGGAAAGTAAAGTCTAGCCTTTAAGCTAGAGCCAGGGGTTGATGAGGTGTAATCTGTTCGCCCTTTTCTGAGTGCCGTTCCAGCTTCTCTAACATGATAGCAATTATTTCCTGCTCCATTTCCTGTGGCTGTGCGTACAGCTGGTCTGCTGCTGCCTTCTCTCAGGTAATGTTACCTACCAGCTGCAGGGGCATTTGAAAACTCTTTTTAGAGTGAGAATGTAGGTATCTTTATGTGGCTGCTCAGTGATTTGGCCAGCTCTTAAGAGATGCTGGTCCATCAGCTTGTATTAATAAGTAACCAAACGCTGGTGTCTCTCTCCATGGATTTTCTGTCAGTAATAAGAGAAATCCTAGTGTTCTGCAGGAATTTCGTAGAGAGCCTGCTAGATGTTACATAATCAAAAAGAAACAACCCTTATGGTAGACATCTGTTCAAAACAGTAGAATTTAGTAGCGTTATTCTTCTGACCACTTCTCTCCCCTAGCACTCTGATGCACGCACTATTTTTGTTAGTGTGCAGGATTTGTTCCTTATTTTTGAAAATGTTTTTCTTGAATGATTAAGGTTTTCTTCTTCCAGCTCATTTATGTCAGCACTTTTTATATTTCCTCTTCCCAACATACTGAACATACATGATTATTCCCGAAATACTCTTTTCTGGAAATTTTTTTGGATATTGCTTGTATCAGTGCAGCTCCAGTAGTTGCAGCAGCACTGAGAGTGGAAGTGTAGACAAACCATCCCGCAGCCTCTGGAATTTTATCTGATATACTTTTAAATGTTTGCAAAACAATGCTTTTAATATTTCCATTCCTAGATTTGTTTTTTCCCCTCCTCCCTTTGGAACAATTCACTAGCTGTTCTTTGCAGTTAGTGGAGAACATTCATTTTGGATGGCTACTAGATTCCTTCAGAAATAACAGGGGAGAGTAATAATTTAGTTTGGAACCCTCAGTTACTATGGCAGCTAACCTCACTGTTTAAGAATTCAGATGAATTATTCCTTATAATGTTTTTTCATATATTAATACGCATATGCAAATACTACTAATCCATACTAAAGTGCATAAAAACACAATCTGATGTGTTCTGAAAATGTGACACTTAGGAGTTGTTTTAACTCTGTGTGACTGACTTCAGTCATATTTATGAATGAAGTATTAGGTTTCCTCTTGTCCTTCTCTATGCGTCTCCAAGGAAAGTTTGGTTCCGTCTTCTGTAGTCTTCAGCTACCTAGTGGGTAGCTATAATTAGCTGCCTACCATTTTCAGTAGCACACCACCTACATATTTTTGGACTTTTTTCAGTTATCAGCAAGCAAAGATAAGAATTATACAAAATAAGGTAAATTTCCCTTCTGCTGCGCTCTGGAACAAGGAACTTTCTGTGCGTATTGAGAGGACTCTGATAAGACCTCTTCCAAAAGACAGCACCCTGGGTTACTTTGGGATTGTCAGTGTAATCTCAGTTGCTTTGAAGAGAAAACTTCCTACACATTAAGCTTAAGAGAAAATGATGTCCTTGAGTGGTTTGAGTCCATTTTTTTTTCTGATGTAACAGAAAAAAGAGTAACATTACATATTTTATTCTCTAAGATGAGTGTAAATTGTGAAATATTGTAGAAAAAGTTTTTCATCTTCTAAGCGCTCACAAATTTCAGTATTTGGATAAATAGGAAAATTTATAGGTTGTGCAGAATTTTAAGGCAATTGAAAAAGAGATGTGTGTGTTGTTGTTCTTGTGTATTGAGACTATTTGCAGAGTCCCTGATTACTAGGGATGCCAGAGCTGTCCCTGCGGCTACCGTGGCAACAATTTTGGCTCACATAATAGGGCAACCTACAGTCTAATTCAACAGTTTGGTTTCTGATTTCTCTCTGTCATTCTAATAAGGGGACTTATGACTTATTTATGTTACCATCATGCGAATCAGTCATTAAGATTCCAAGTTGAATGCAGTATTTTCTTTGAGTGTCACCTCCTCCCTAAGAACAGTGTAGGTAACGGAAATTGAACTACATTGTATAAATACAAGAAATGCGTCTTGCTAATGAAGGATAATGAGGCTTGGTAAGCCTCAGCTTGCTGTTTGCCTGTCATTTGTGAAGATGAAGCTTTACCAACAAAAAAATCTATTTCTCTTAAGAAATAAAATAAATTGATAATAAAATATGACATGTTCTTCACTGTAAATTATTTTTGCTAAGATAACTTTTTAAGGATTTCATTTCTTGTTTCTTACAGCTTAGTTGTAAGTGATGATGATGTGTGGAGAGACCAGTTTTACAATGGAAATATTAAGAAAGAAAGAGGTAATGAACGTATTTTGAAATAATATATCGCAACGCTGTAACTTAATCCTCCATTGCAAATAACAGTTTTAGTGTATGTCATATATTTGTAATAAAAGGTACATAGTAGATCTTATCTCAGTTATTTAGATATAAAACCTCTCCTGAGACAATAATTATTAATAATAATTATTTTAATTTTCCTGATACTCCGTTTACATTTAAACATATGTGTTTATATTTAAGGTGCAATAGTGCTACGTCTTGCCAAATCGTGGTTTCGTATAGGATCCTTAGAAATCTTAGCTCGTTCTGGGGAACTGGACTTACAAAGGTTTGGATTTAGTCTTCCTAGCTATATTAATTATCATAACAATCAAATATGTTAGAATGCGTATATGCAGTTGGAATTTAGACATAAATTATTTAGAAAGGAAGATTACGTCCTTTAGAAAGATAACCTACTCTTATTTAATAAGCGTACTAATGGTCTTGCCTCATAAGAATAAAAAAACCCTAGATATTTTTAAAGGCCTGGGTCCTACAAAATGAGAAAGTCTTTATAGCTACAGTAGTTCTGGTAACTAACCACTGTGTGCAGGATGGCATCTGTTTTGATAAGGGGAACTTGTAAATGTATAGAATAAGCTTCTAAATTTCTCATTGTAGCCTGTAAAAATCAATTAACAGAAATATGAAGTAAATCAGTAGCTTACGTATGTTACATGCTTTCCAAGAACATGTAGAATTAGAAAAGTATATTGGATAATAAATTATTGTGCAATTTTAAGCCTATTAGCAATATTAATTTAGTGACAGCAGAACTATGTTATTCCATTTCAAGCAATTGGCATGACAAATTTTTAGTTCTACTGTAAATACTTTAAAACAGTAGGACGTATTGGCCATTCCTGCTCAGGGGCTGTGTTCTGGTTCATAATCACTTGCCATAGAAATTGTTGTGGGATGCTTCAGAAAAAAAGAGAGAGAAAAAGAGAAGTAGCAGCAGTTGTACACGGTAGTGACTGGCCATTCAAGATAACTTCCTGCATGAGTGTACACTGCCTGTCTTTCCATTTGTTTTGAAATCTCACAACAGATTATAGCTGTAAAACTGAAAGACTAAATTAAGGAACTGAATTTAAGATGCAACTATTCCATATGTTTTTGGCTGAAGTATTTGAGGCTTATTGGATTTAGTGAGCATGTACAGATCACTTCTACTCATGCAGAGTAGATGACTCCTTTCTGCCCGTTTTGGAGGGGGCCCCAGAAAGGGAGGCCAAGAGCAGTCAAGGCCGTTGTGACTGTCTGCACTTCCTCTTCAGAGAAGTTTGCCCCTGAAAGAGGGTGTCCTGGACCAATTAGCTAAAATTCAGCAATAGGTTGGACACATCTTGAAAGGGTCAGGTTGCTAGATACTCTGGTAAAATTTTCAGACTTCAAGGGGAATTTGGTGATTTGCTCCAACAACCCAGTTAAAGTAAAATCTAGATATTTGTGTGCATAGCCTTGCAACACTAGCAGAGGTCCAGCCCTACCGTAGGTCCAACCCTAGCCCAGGTCTCGTACCCCACTTGTAGGTGGTACTTACATACTTGCAGTTTCTCTTTACCAGTGGCCCTGGCTGGCTCTGACCATGGGACAGCCCTACAGGGGGCTTTTAAATGCCAGAGGGACGATAAAGATGTAGATCTGTAAATGTGGGTATCTGACAGGCACTGCAATCGTTAATGCATGTATCCCAATTTCTCAAGCCTGTCGTATAACAACTTTGTGTAGCACTGTTTTGGGAATGCCCAGTTACTATGACAAATAACCCTGCTTCCTAAAAATTCAGTCATAAAGTTTTCTGTGAGGAGAATTCTGATACAGAGTTATTCCTTGTAATGATATGCTTTTTTTTTTGACTACATAAACTGTTTTTGGTAAAAGGTTGATGTTACAGCATGTAAAACAGATCCTGTTGTACTCTGAAAGTTTAACACAAGAGTTGTTTTAAGTCCATATGTCTCTCCACTCATATTTGTAACTGGAGCATTAGATTTTATCTCTAAGCATTTGAAAGCACTTAATCTAAAAGCCATTGGAGTTAGTAGACTGAGCTGTCTAATAACTAATTGCAGCAAGCTATAGATCAGCATTTAGCTGTTTAAAAATAAGAATTTTGAATTACCATTTCTAAAGGTACTAGTTTTGTTTAAAGAATTCTGTATGTTGTATTACAGAAGATTGCTCGACTTTGTCATCCAGGAACATTTTCCATCAATAGCCGTGAATGATTCAAATAGATATCTGGTAAGTCTTTGTTAAAAGTTATTTTTATTTTCCACAAGCATATGAACAAAAAATTATACAAAGCTTTTCAAAGTCTGCAATTTTAAAAAGTCTTAAAATTTGAAATAAGCTTTAAGTTTTTATTAGCAAAAGTTTGTAAATATTCTTCAGTAAAAATCTCTCTGAAAATCAAATACGAACATTCTTTTTTCACCGTTTTTCGTGGTGTAAACATGTATTGGCGGTCTTCCATTTTCAGTAGTTTTTTTTCTCCTGCTGCTCAGATATTAAGTGAACAGTTGTCATGGAGTGATGAGTTATGCTCTTCCTTATATAAATACCATATATATATTGTCTGTCTTCCCTTTAAGAATTGTTAATTTCTCTTAGTGCATGTGTGTGTGTTAACCTTGTCCAGCAAAGACTGTAGTTATGTAATTTTGCAAATCAGATCATTTAAGAATGTAAACAAAAAGTCCTGACAGATATAGATATATGTTTAAAAATAGAATATGTGGAATATTTCTAAAGTTAATTGTTTATGTTATTTATTGTATTTTGGTTTGAGAGGACTTGAAGTAAAACATATATTTAATTTTAGGAATTTTACTCAACAGTTGTATTACAGACTGCAAATCTGATTGCACTGTGGATGTCTGTGGGTTTTGCACATGGTAAGCTGCAGTAGATACTACCGTGGTATTGGCTTTACAGGAGTGTCTCTTTATAGTCATATACTTAAAGGTAGTTTTTATGCTGTCACATTTAATTCTCTTCAGTCTTTCTGATATCTTTGCCTATAGCAGTATCTATTATCCGTTAATATTATACAGGTTTTTCCTTACCAGGGTTAAGAGAGCTTTCTGATTTTTCAAAGTATGACTGTATTTGACAGAAGTAAGAAGGAAACAATGTTAGCTTCTCAGAATTAGTGTGATTGTCTGATGTACATAGACCATGTATTGATGTCATATAAAAGTTTCATTCATCTGATTCAATTCATCTCTGAATTTGATGTGTCTGCACAAGAACCTGACTTTTTATAGTATATAGGGTAGAGTGCTGTTCACCTTTTGTTCCAGATCTATATTCTGAAAAATAATATAGCATTGCGTTGCTAATACAGCACACAGTCAGCTTGCAAAGAAAAAAAACGATCAGTTGTGCAAGATGCTATTTCAATATCATGTGGCACTGAAAGGAAAAGGAAATAGTGCCACCCAGGTGTAGAAACCAGAAGCAAGATAATGTAGAAAACGGTTTCTAGTTTTCATAGTTAAAATGCCTACCAGGTCAAGAACAAGAGAGACAAGATTATTTTCCAGAATCTGATCTCTGAAAGGTAACTGCTCCACAGTTGTCTTGGTTCAGTGGATTGATTTCACAGCATATTTTCTAAACTATAGAGTTCAGGTGGAATTTTTACTGGTATTTTTCTTTATTATTGTTTAATTCTAGGTGTATGCAATACAGATAACTTCAGTTTATTATCCATAACAATAGATTATGGTCCTTTTGGTTTTATGGACTCCTATGATCCAAGTGAGTATGGTGCTTGTTTGCAAATACCTCTTTTGACTTAAAATAGATTCCATATATTTGTTTATGTAATTTCTCTGTGCATAAAAACTGTTTGAATTATTATCAGAAAAATCCCAAATGTGTCTACTGTCCGAAGAGTTTTAGAAAAGAACAGTTACTTTCTAGATCAGAGGTCAGTTTTATGATGTGCTATGCAGGTTCCGTTTCACGTTCTAAAAATTTCAAAGATGAAATGTCACTATTAAATCCACTTCCATGGATGAAGAATTTTTCCTATTGAACTTCATCAATTGAACAGATGCTACAACAGAGACCTACAAAACTAAAATTGCATGTGACTGTGAGCAACCAAAAGCAGAAGTTCTATATGACTTCAAATACATTGTGCTCCATCTTTGCAGTCACAGCAGCTAGTTATATACAGCAGGAAAAGAAATCAAATCTAACCAGTCATGGCATACACACACAGAACTTTCTTTGAAAGTATGAACTCAATCCACCTGGGATTAATTGATGTAGGTCCAATATGTACATAGATGCACGTTATTGGATTGTTGTTTGGAGGTTACATCCGAGAAAGGTTCAGAACCTGCGGTGTTTATCAGAGACTGCAGCTTCAAATTAAGCAAGTCTTATGAGAATAGATGTTATACACCTTATATCATATTGAAGTCGTCTGAACTTGGCCCTTAAAACTGGACTTTCCCTAGTTTTAGACCTTTCCCTGGGACCAGAGCCAGAAAAAAGACTTGGAGCTAGAAATTTAGATTTGAACCAGATCACCAGATCTGACAGGTGTGTCACAGGTTTCCTCCTTAATGCTCCATCTGCTATGAATATCCTCAGAAGATTCAGGCAATGCTGTATGCATTGATCAGCTTAGCCACATCTGGTATGCGCAAGAGGTTCATGCTCCATCCGTTCTGAGGTTGGTGCTGTAGGTATCCAGAAGTAAAATGTAACATATTAGGTATTTAATATCTCCCCAATGTGGATTTGCATAGTGGAACGTCTTACCCCTAATTTTTCAGAAGTCGGTATATAAAGCTTGGTTATACAACTAAACAAATCTTGTTCAGGTAGCCTGGTTTTTTTAAATGCATTACTTTGCCAAAGATGTACATAAATCCTGAATCTGAATGTACGATTATTTACTTAGTCTGTTATATGTAGTAAACAGCACTGAATAAAACATCGCTTTCAGTGTAAAAATTGTCTGTTTCTGTTTAAAAAACTGAGTTTGTCTTCTGTCTTCAGGTAGGACGATGCAACTTGTGACATCTAGAAACTTGTTCATGAAGGATGTATCACTCAGATTTGCAAATATTAGATCTTGAGTTAATCTAGTCTGAATGAATATGCTTGTGTTCTGAGTTTAAATATTTCGTACCTTCAGGGCTTTTATTAGTTTGCCACCTAAACACAAAAATGAATGAACATCACTATTTTAACACTGGTTATTTATTCTAATTACTCTGTGTAGTAAAGTAATTTTTTTTTGGTTTGAAACAGATTTTGTTCCAAACACATCTGATGATGAAAGGAGGTATAAAATAGGAAACCAGGCAAATGTTGGGCTGTTTAATCTGAACAAGCTGTTACAAGCTCTAAAACCTTTATTGGATCCCAGGCAAAAGCAGCTGTAAGTAATCCTTAAAATATCTTAACACTTAAAAGAACTAGTGAGATGGGAGAGACTCTAATCACTGTCTGCTTAGGAAAGAGAGGGGTTAGCTTTTAAAATCTAGCTTCTAAATGAATATTGATTCTGGATTAATTATTGACTAGAATAAGGTGGAGGGGAAGGGAGGACGTTTTTTTCCATTAGTCATAAATCATAGTAAAGTATGACTGGAAGGCAATTCAAGAAGTTGTCTGGGCCGTTCTCCTTTCCTTAAGGTGGGATCTTTTCCTGTAGTTTTCTCTTATGGGTTTGTTTAGCTTGTTGTTAAAGATGCCTACTTATGAAGATCATACAACCTCCTGAAGTAATGAGGAAGTATTTTAATATCCTATTGTAGAGCTTCCTAGGATGAACCTTCTTTTGGGCACTTTAATCTCATGACTTCTTACTCCCTGTGAAACCAAAGGCAGACTGTGTTTCTTTCTTCTTTGCAGCCGCTGTTTACTTATTAGAGCCTGCTAAAATGTTTCCCCTCAGTCTTTTTTTCACTACAAATCTCAGCTGATTCAGAATATGGAAACTGTCAGATACCAAACAAAGTTTTTCTCCTTTAGTGTACAGCAGGGTTGCTGTACACAGCACAGTAGTATTGTAATTCCATAGAATTTGATATTTCTTTTGTTTTTACAGAGCTTCGCAAATTCTGGAGGAATATGGTAAACACTACTACATCCGGTATGTTGTTCCAGAACTTAAAATTGGTAGTCACAGTATTGTAAAATATTTTATGGGACCACTTACTTTACTGTTGTTCCTCTTTTCAGTTTTACAGAACTATTCAAAACAAAACTGGGTCTTCTTGGGGAGAATGAGGATGATAACTATTTGATTGCTTTCCTCCTAAAAGTGAGTTTGCAGTGCTAATTTTCTTGGCCAACAACTGAACTGATATCTAATACTCTAAAAACACTGAGAGAAGTATATTAATTTCACTAGCTCATGGAAGATACGAAGGCTGATTTTACAATGACGTTTCGACAGCTCAGTGAAATTACTGAAGACCAGTTAAAGGAGCTCCATATTCCTGAGGTATTAATTAATATGCACACACACCCCCCCACACGCACACCGTTTTAGGAATACTCAATATAAAATCAGATTGGACATAACCCTGATATAATGGAGGACCCCTGAAGCTGTGACTTGCCTGAAAACGTGCAATTGTAGCATTATTAAGGGACAGGGAGACTAAGGGAACTATGTCTTGCTGTCATCCCCTGTTAAGTCTGTATCTGATGATGAAGGATACGTTACTGAAGAGTGCTGAAGTCAAATTTTCAGCCTCTGGTACAGGTATGATATGAATAGTCATAAACATTCATGCACGCATGATTGTCTTCACATTTAAGATGGGTCTTCTGAGCACCCTTAGGAACTTGTTTGTGGTTAAAGATCTTTCTCCAGCCTGAACTGTTGTCTGAATGTACACAATATTTTTACAGCTGAATATTAGTAAGAGTTTTCCTCTCTGCAGCTTTTTGTTTGTTTAAGAATTCCTCCTGATAGTATTTCATAAGACGCAAGCAAAGTTGGATAGGACTTGTGAGGGCAATTTCAATCTTGGACCTATCAAATTTACCTAACATGGATTTGCCAGATGGCTTAAACCTCTATTCACAGGCCCATCAGCTTGTCTTAGTATCTAATGACAAGTGAGATCCCATCTCATAAACTCTTGCTAGAATCTCAGCCCGTAGTGGCCTCTGCCCTTCCCTGAGCACAAGACTCGTCCTGAATGTAGCCTAAAGTGTAGGAATGCATAGCATAGGTCCTGCTCAGCCTATGATTCCATCTCGTCTTGCTGCTAACTCCCACTAAACTTATTCTTCAGGACCAAGTATTAAATAACTATAAAATAATTAATATTAATAAATAATTAGTAAAAGGGATTTAAGCTGTCTAGCAGTAGAAAGAGATGAACTCCAAGGCCTGCATTTTCTTCAGAAATGAAAATATGACTGAAAAGTTTGAACTGGAGTAAGATGTTTAGCAAATAATAATTGCATAAAAATGTAGAATGGAAATTCTGAAAAGGAATCTTCTAAGTGCTGGATCTGGAAAGCAAAAAAGGAGGCCTTTTCACATGAACCAAAAGGTTGGGATTTTGTTTGTTTGTTTGTTTGTTTTGATTTCGTTTTTTAGACAGTACCTTTTCTACATGGCAAGTATTATTCACTCTGCCTGGGATACTTTGTTGCTTTGCCCTAACTTCTGGTTTATTTTTGTTTTGTCTTTGAATCTAGTTTAAGATAATTAGAGAGCAGGTGAATTAGGAAGGGTTTTTTAGGGAGGAGAATGACCTGGTGCATAAAGCATATAGTGAAAGTGAGAAGTTATTTTTTTAATTATGTACCAGATCCATTAAGTGATCATGACCAAATTCTCTGTTTTCCCATCCTTTCTTCTGTTAAGTAAGAGGTTTAATCTGACTTTTTGTGTGAGCCTGAAGCCATTAACGGTTTACAAGTTGAGATTTTTCTAGTGGTAAGCAACAAAAATACAAAAAAATGTAACTGTGGAATTAATCATTTGTATGGAGAGGAGATAGGTGGGTTTGTGAGAGAGAGTATTTTTGTCACAGACTAAGAGGTATTTTTCCATTTCTTAGCAGGCTACATGTGCCCGGAAAAATGGAAGCCTCCCTCATGCACTGTGGGGCCACTTCCAGGCTCCTGCAGTAGTGGCATTCACGGCAATTGCATGTCCTCCTCTTAGAAGGCGCAGGCTGGGAAGCTTTCTTGCCTTTCCCTGACTTCTGACTTGTTTCTCTGTCTTTAAATCTGATGTATAGATCATGGTGTGATTGTAACCCTATTACCACACTTAGGGTTGTCTGCAGCCTTAATTGGTAGTGGTTGGTTTTATTTATTTATGTATGTATTTTTCTTCAGACAATTAAGTACTTTAGCCCACAAGTTCTGAGTCCCAAAACTGATGTGGTACAGCAGGTACAGTTTTTTTTGCAGGTAAAAAAGATTTATTTTTTAAAGAAATTTTTTTTATAGAAAAGTTAAGTTCTCCTGTTGTTTATTCATGCACAAACACTTTGGCAGTGGCAAATTAGATTCACTTGCTGGTTTGTAGATCACTTAAATATTTTCTTTCAGATGCACATCAAAATTGGTCTAGGAACGCCCGAACCCTTCAGGAGCACTGCAGGGACATTGCGTTCTAGTAGTCACTGGAAACATTCTGGTATTCCTGCTAAAGCAGCCTAGCCCTGCACACCTTGGAAGGAATGCTTGATGCCCACGCTCACCTGCTGTCCATGTGCTGTACCCTCAGCTCTTAGTCACTTCTCTAATTTTAACTCATTTTTATGCCCAAGTGTGTGTGTGTGTTTTTTTTTTTAATTTTTCGACTCCTATTCCTTTAAAAAATGCACGGAGATGTGATTGAACCTTTGTTTCATTCTTGCTTTTAATTCCCCTTCTTTAACTTCACTTCCCCTTCCCCCCTTTTTTGTATATTTGCTATTTATTCCCTTTTATCAGTGTTCCATTTCTTTCCGATCTGTTCTTTCTGTAAAATTCATTTTTTATCTGTAAGCTTTGCTACTTTATTTCAACCAAACAATATAGCACAGTTATTAACTCAGTGTAGCTAGCAAGGGAAGCCTAGTTTGTGGTTGTTGTCCGACGCTAGAGACAGTAACCCCCAGTTTTGGTTACTCACTATTTTCCTTTTCCAAGTTTTGTCTCTTCTCCCTTCACCCCCTCCTCTTGTCTCTTTTAATCGCCACAATCTTCTCCTATGCTTGTGGACTTTAAGTTCCCCTCTTTCTCCACTACTCCAGAATTTTGAAAAAAAGCAATTTTTACAAATAGATCTGATCTATGTACCAAGCTCAGAAGAAAGTAGCACCTAAAAATAAAAATAAAATCAGTCAGGGGATAAACTAAAGAAGAATAGGAGTGAAGTCTTAGAGGTATTTAGGTAGGATTCACCGTAACAGTCATGGATTAATATGGAGATACCACATTAGCAAAAAGAAATAGTTTAAATACAGAGGAAAAGATACTAGTAGAGTTTTGGCAGAGAAAATTTGTTGAGGGTCATTGTATTGTTCCCCCTATCCTCTCTTCATTCCTTTGTTCGTTTTGTTTTTTGCTTAATGGCAATAATATTCTGATTACTGTTTCTTTCTCTTTAGGAGTTCTGGGCTCTGCAGGATCTGGCTAAACACAAGTTATTTTCAGAATGGGTTACTAGGTACCTCTTAAGGTTAAATCGGTAAGTTTGATGCAGTTTCAGGTTTAAAAGTAACAGCAGGCATGTAGGAGGCAAATTCAATCTACAGTGACTTGGGTCAGATTTTTCGTAACCTCTTGTGGGTCCAGTAACCTGACTTCAAATGTGCTTTGATAAGACTTTTTGTGTGTATGGTTCTAGATTCTACTAGTTTCCATAATAATTACATAGTTGTAATATATTGTCTGATTGTATTGTAGTTCAGCTTCTTGAAAAAATACTGTTCTTTTTTTTTTTTCAAATCTGTTTTGCACATATGATAGTATTGCCTTAGAACGGTAAGGAATGGAAGTTGCACAGTTGTGAATGCACAGATTGTGTTTGGAAGCCACTGATGTTACACAGCTTGTGACTTTCATGTTAGAACTTCCCACCAATTCTTTTGTCATAAATCAATACAGAATACTTTCATTTCTCTTAGTCAGGAGGGTCACTTGTGTTGATGCATAACTATATAATATTTGCACTTACAACTGTAGGTCTAATTTGTGGTACCCCACTCTAAGTATAAACAAAACCTATTGAAAATATATTCATTATGGGAGATTGCAATCAGCTGTTGTATGCTGGGCGCACAACTTTTTTTTGAGGAAGCTCAGAGGAAATATGTGTATTTCAGGTCTGGAAAGACAGAAACTGAATATTTCATGGCTGATGTCTTGAAAAAGGGTTAGCAGAAACATGAAAGAAAAAATAAATATTCCAGTTAATGTTTCTTTAGTTCTTGTAGTTCAAACAGTAGGATTACTCGCTTACTTTCTATTTAGAGTAGATGGTTATTGTAGTGAAAAGGAGAAAGTGGAAAATGTTCGTTTTATTTTCCTCACTCATGCCACAACATTGACATTTACCTTTTTTCTTTTTTTGGTTTGTTTTCATGTATAGTAACAAAGGTGATTCTGACACAAAGAGAAGAAGAAGAATGGCAAGTAAGTAAAACAAGTTAAGCATTTAGAGCTTTTCAGAAAATTAGAAATGTTTTGATAAAAAATGTATTCCCAAAAACTCCCAGTCCAAGCACCAAGTATTTCTATTTAAACAAAATTATTGTGACTGTGATGAGTTACTGGTCCAAGGATGGATTTGTTTCTTCTTCGGATGGACTAGCAAACTTGGTTATTGATGATACAAGAAAAATCTGGGGGGGGTTGCTCCCCCCCTCCTTGCTTTTTTGCTCTGAGGTGTTGCCCCTTCCCTCCCGCTTTTTTTTTCCTCTCTTTGGGTTGCTTGATTTCCAGGGAACTGTGCAAGATTCAGTTATTGTTTTGTCTGTGGTGTGGAGAGTAACTGAATAATTGTGTTTTCTGGGAGTCTTTAGCTTTTCCAAGCTAAATCCCCTAACAGTCCAAAGAAATTCATATGCCTGGGGATGGCAAGTAGCTATTTACATAGGTTTATTTAGAGTTAGTTAGTTTTCCTTTTGAGGAGTACTGAAACGTACTGCTTTTTTGAAGAGGAGAAATGCTAGTTTCATTACACTGCTGTGAATCTTTTAATAGCATAAATTCCCTGTAGCTACCTCCAGTTTCACCCAATATTGTAGTAGTTAGGATCTAGCCATGTGCAGCTGGCTAGGCCTGTGTATACATATATAATTCCTACATAAGTCAAACAATCATGAAGTTCCCTGGCTATCAGTAAGGCTCTCTTCCTCCTTAGGGAACCACCCTTTTCCCTTCTTAAAAAGCAGAAAAACCCTTAATTTAATTGTCTGCATTTATGAACAAATAGAGACAATTTACACAAGTAAGTAACTTGAAGATGATATGAGATTCATTTACATGTTTAAAAAAAAAAAGCAAACAAACAAAAAACCCCAAACCTCATGTCTTTGCAGTGCCATTTCACTTTAGATAAAAAATACTCAGGAGTGCACGTTATTATTTTAGTCATTTAACGGGTAAGAAGTACTGTTTTTAGTTTCAATACCTATTTAAAACCAAGCTTTCTGAACAGTGATCAAAAGATTGTGAAGTACAACTTACTCTTGTGTGTTACAATAAACTAAACTTCTCTGCTATGCAGCATTAAGCATTTTGCTGCTTTTTTCTTAAAAACAAAAGTTCAGAGTTTATTAGAAAAAAAATGGTGTTCACTTTTAAAGTTGCTTTCGTCTACTTTTCTGAACAGTCTCAGTGAAATTAAGCTCAAATGAGAAATGTCAATATCTGAGTTTGAAGTCTAGACAAGTCTAGATCGAGTCTTACTTGATCTGGATTTTGTTCCTCAATAGCAAGACTAATTTTTTTCCCTTTAAAAATGTCTGGCCCTTATCCTTTCCTGCTGTGAATACAGTCATAGGTATATCAGTTAACTGATATACCTAAGAGTGTGAGATAATGGAAACACACCACAGCTACTTGTCCAAGTTACTCTTCTTTTGATTTTACTGTCTCTGAGTGACAGAGCACGTGTCTGTTCATATGTTCAATGGTTGAAATTGCAGGTCATGAAGACCAGAGGGCTTTGCCTATCAGTATCCATAAAGGATGCTTTGACCTATATCTCACCAAGTGTCACTATAGACTGGAGCAATCTAACTCAGCTGCCTGGCTATGCTCTATTCCATATCAACTCTCATTTTCCTATTTGTTTATCTGATATCTTTTGTTTATTCTTTTCTTTATTTTTGCTTTTTTTCTCTTACTTTTTCTTTCCCTTTTTTTGCAATTTTTATGTCATTTGGGGGCTCAGGAGTTGCTGGGCCTCTGGCTTGATGCATGCTTTGGTGCTTGTGGACTTAATTTATTTTTTTCCTTTTGATTCCTTTTAAGAACTTAAGAATTATTGATGTCTGGGCAGCTGGTTGTGTGTATCTTGCAGTTTCTCAAGCTGGGCTTCACCTTTGTGTATTGAAATGGTGGGTATGCTCTGGCTGCTATCCAAACTGTAACTCTTCCTTACAAAGTATGCTGCTCCCTTAAAGGGCCCCTAGGATTTGATTTTCTTGAGAGTTGCCCTTCTGCTTTATCTGCTTCTCCTAAGGGTAAGGAACATCTTTTCCTTGAATCTCTGCCTCCTTCCTCAGAGGCCTCTGCCTCTGAGGCACTGTAGTCGAGCAAAGCGGGCAGGAGACCTGCATGGATGAGCAAGGAACTCCTGGCAAAACTCCAACAGAAGAAGGAAGTACACAGAATGTGGAAAAGGGGACAGGCCACTCGGGAGGAATACAGGGACGTTGTCAGAGCGTGCAGGGATGTGACAAGGAAGGCTAAGGCCCAGTTGGAATTAAATCTGGCAAGGGATGTCAAGGACAACAAGAAGG